GAAGTGGTGCTGTGGCTCACATGGTAAAGCACTAGCCTTGAGCTGAAGAGCTGAGCGACAGCGCACAGGCCCCACGACCGGACCAAAAAAAAAAAGAATCCTAAATTTTGCTTAAGGCATCTTAATACCTCAGACCAATATTATTAATCTTGATGTAGTTATACCTGTTTTTCACTCTTCATTGAAATTCAATTTACATATTATAAAATAGGCTTTTTTGGAGGGAGGTGGTTGTGGATCTTGAACTCAGGGCCTGGGGTGCTGTCGCTGAGCCTCTTTATGCTTAAAGCTAGCATTCTACCACTTGAGCCACAGTGCCACTTCTGGTTTGAGCGATTAATTGAAGGTAAGAGTCTCTTGGGGACTTTTCTGCCTGGTCTGGCTTCCGAATTGCAATCCTCAGATAGATCTCAGCCTCTTCAGGAGCTAGGATTACAGGTGTGAGTCACCGGTGCCCGGCTCATAAAATTTGCTTGATGTATATATATATATATATAATAGGTGTTTAAAAAAATGAACTGAGTTTTGTAGCCACCAAAACCAAGTTTTACATTTTCATTATTTAGTAGGATCCCTTTTGTTATATTACGCTTACTTGCAAATTTTACCCCAACCACCACCCTACTTTTCCTCTGCAAATTTCTCTCTTTAAATCTTTCATAAAAGTCTCCTTTTTTTCTTCATATTAATATTCAAAGTTCGTCCATATTGCAGTATATTCTTATTTTGTTCTGTATTTTTAATAACATGGGTTATTTCACTTTTTTGTTTTTTCTATTCACCTATTGATAGCATTTGAGTTGTTTCCACATTGGAGTATTATAAATTATGTTGCTAATGAATATTTGTATAACAAGATACCAGTTGTTAAGACAAATGCCTTAGAAAAGTATCTATGGGAAAGGAATTCTTCTTTATTTTTTTATCAAAAATATGCTTGGTGCTATGGGCATGGCTCAAGTGGTAGCCCACAAAGGCCTTTAATTCCAATCCTTCAGCCTCCAAAATAAAAGAAATATGTTCTCTTTTATAGATACTAGGTTTTGGAATAGGCATATGTGTTTTTTTTCTTTTTTAAAGAATGTTGAAGGCCACAAGTAAAATGCATAATCCTTTACTTTGTTTTATGTTTTTTTGTTTTTTAATGTTTTAGTGTCCTTGAAGTAGAAAAGTCTCTGGTATTAGCTGAAAAAGGCAGCCCAGAAGGCAAAGACAATGAAGTAGAAGTGTTGACTGCAGGAAAGAATTTCCGAATCTTAGCAACTATGAACCCTGGGGGAGACTATGGAAAAAAAGAGGTAAAACTACTTCAAGTCTAATTTATTCCTAGATTTGCCCTTAACTTATTGAAACCCATAAGTATAGTATATAATAAATCATTTGGTGTTGCATGTTAGATAACAATGGAGTATTATGTCAAGTCCAATGAAGATATTGTTGGATATTACATTGAAAAATCTGACAAGATAGAAAGTTTCTTCTCTCTCCCTCTGCAAACATGTCTGTCTGTATGTCTCTCTGTCTGTCTGTCTGTCTCTCTCTCTCTCTCTCTCTCTCTCTCTCTCTGTCTTTCTAGTCCTGGGTTTTGAACTCAGGGCTTGGGCACTGTCCCTGATCTTTTCTGCTCAAGGCTAGTGTTCTACTTTTTGAGCCATAGCTTTACTTCTGGCTTGTTTGTTTGTTGTCAGTCATGGGGCTTGATCTCTGGGCCTGGGCATTGTCCCACAGCTCTTCTGGCTTTTTGGTGGTTAATTGATTATAGGTTTCTCACAGATTTTGTCCTCAGATCTCAACCTTAGGCTTAG